GAATCATGGATCGGCTGCCTCCTGCACGGCCTCATGGGGGGTCAAGCCCGCAACACAGGCACGTGCCTGGACCTGGAGTCGAACCGTGACCTCCTGGTTCATAGGTCGACACTCAACCACTGAGCCACGCCCGCCGGAGTTACCGAGTTCTGATGATTTTGCTTATTGCCCATCTTCCCACTAGAAAAGGCCACACAGCTATCTTTAACCTGGGGATAGGGGCATGGGGTGGGGCCCCCTGGGAGGTGTTAGTTAGTTTCCCAGACCAATACCTTCTAAAATAGCCACGGTGAAACTCCACCCAAAATATATGCCAGCATGCAGCCTAGTGAGGAAATGAAGGGGGTCCCCAGGGGCTGTCTTCCTCCAGGAGACCCTGGCTGGCCCTGACACCTCAATAGCAGCTTTGAGTCTCTGTGGGAGCCGAAGCTTTGATGCCGGGCCATAACCCACATCTCCAGACACCTCAGCACATCCTCCCAAAAAACAACCTGTGGTTGAATTAGAATCAAGGTGGCCGCCCCACTGTACCCCCTCCCAAGGCCTGCTGTGAACCCATCGTCACCTTCAAAGAGACCGTTCAGAGAGCAGAGGAGGCAATAAAATATACACACACGCCTATTTTTCTTTTCCCACTAGCATCCCCAGGGCCCTGGCCACACATCTATGTCCCACAAGGGGCTCCTTTGAAGCCAGAATGGAGCTGCAGAAGGGGAACCCACAGAAACCCACAAGCTCCCACTGTTCCTGGGGGGGCCTCAGCCAGGGCCCAGTGCACGGTCCCACAGGGCTGGCCACCTCTCGGCGAAGGCTGAGCCTCCAGGGCCACATCTGTGGGAGACTGGAGCCTGAGTGAGGGTTTCAAAGAGGCTGGTGGCTAGAGGGAGGAAAGCAGCTGCAGGGTCCTAAATGTCCTTTTCCTAAAGTCCTGGAATTTCCCGGGGGTAGCCATGGACTGCTTACCCCCTCAAAGGATCTTTCTTGCTGTGAGAGAAGAATCGCATTTTCCTCCACTTGGAGGCTGGCATGGAACTCGAGGAGGGGCGGGACCAGCCAGTGGCCACAGCTGTGGATTCAGGACTGGTGGGTGGATTCAGGCTGGCTTAAGTCACCAAGTGGGATGGGCCTAGGATTGGTGGAGATCTACCTGGGCTGAGAGAAACACACACCTGAGGTGGAGGCCTAAGGGACTCTGTCTGGTCTGAAATGTTTGTTATTTTTTTCAATGATGAATTGTTAAAATGTAGGAAAGTAAAGAAGACTGAGCATTTGCAAAGAGCTGACATTGGATGGCTGGTGGCCAGGTGCTGTCCGCAGCTCTTCACCTAACATACCTTGAGGGGTTGGTAGCATTAGATTCCCGCTTCACAGGTGAGGCACAGAGAGGTCACACAGCGGGCTGACGTGAATCTAGACCTGCTCTAGTTAACCCAAACTCAGCAATGGTCCATCCTACATGCTCACAACAGAGCCATGTGTTATATTTTTCCTTGTATTTGAATTTCATTGTTTAAGCTTTCATTTCGGTAAAATATAACGTGAAATTTGCCATTTTGCCTGTGAAGTTTAGTGGCATTAAGTACATTCACCAAATGTGCAATCATCCCCATTACGTACTTCCAAAATTTCTCATCGCCCCACACAGAAACCCAGTATCCATTAAGCATCTCCCCCTGCCTCAGCCCCTGGACACTTCTGATCCACTTTCTGTTACTATGGATTTGCCTGTTCCAGATATTTTATATAAATGGAATCATTCACTCTGTGGTTTTTAGTGCCTGGCTTCTTCCACTCAGCGTGATATTTTTGCAGTTCGTTCATGTTGTCGTGTGTCGTCAGCGCTTCACTCCTTTTCATGGCTGAATAATATTCCATTGTATGGATGGACCATTTTTGTTCATCCATTTCATTAGTTGGTGGACATTTGGTTCGTATCCACCTGCTGGCTACTGTGACTAGTGCTGCTATGCACGTGTGCGTACAAGGATCTGTGAGTCGCAGCTTTTAATTTCTTTGTTATACAGGATGGGGCAAAAGTGGCTTTACAATGGCCAGGATGCAAAAACAGTTTATTCTTCTATTATTATGTATTCGTTATTTATTATTTTCCATACGAATATCTGTAAAACTACTTTTGCCCCACCCTGTTTTTTTCCTACACACACATTTTCTATATAATACTGTCATGGACATTACTTTTTAAAAACAATGTTATTAACTTACAATTGACGTACCAGAAACTGCACACAGTTAACATGTACAATTCAATGTGTTTGGCATATGTCTACACCTGTGAAACTGTCACCTTTATCAAGATAATGAACACAGCCATCACCCCAAATGTTCCCTCCTGCCTTTGTCATCCCGTCCCTCCACCCCTCCCCAGACTACCTTCTGACCTGTTTCCTGTCCATTTACATCCATTCATTTGTACTTTCTAGAACAGCTTATAAACAAAATTATCTAATGTGTAGCCTTTTGGGTCTGGCTTCTTTCACTCAGCATAATGCCTTAGAGGTACATCCGTATTGTTTCGAATGCCGGTAGTTCATACTTTTCACTGATGAGAAGTATTTTGTTGTATGTTCATCCATTTTCCTGAAGATGGATATTCTAGTTGTTTCTAGTTTGGGACAATTGCAAATAAACCTGCTGTGAGCACTTGTCTACACGGCCTGCTTTCATTTCTCTTAGGTAAATACCAAAAGGGGAATGGCTGATTCCCATGATGGGTCCACATTTAACTTGTGAAGAAACTGTCAAAATGCCTTTCCAAGTGGCTGCACTGGTTTGTATATCCAGCAGCCTAGACGAAAGTTGTGGTTCCTCCCCATCCTTGCCAGCACATAATAGTGTCAGTCTTTGTCACGATAGCCATTTCTGGGAGGGGTTGTGGGAGAAATGTGCTAGAGGTGACTGGGAATAGAAGATTTTTACAAAATGTGATCCTTTTAGTCATCCGTTCAACTTATAAATATGGGTAATAGGACTTCTTCTTTTTCTCTCCAAGCAGTGAGAAGGGCTCATGAGTTGTCCCGTAAAACATTTGCTGAGCACCTACTGTGTGTTCCCTATTGTGCCAGTTCTTGAACATAAACAGCAAACAAGACTGACACAGTTCCTGCCCTCAGAGAACTAGCTTCTACCTCGGTTTGAATTGATTTTTTAGAAGCAGAGCCTGAGATGGGATTCAGGGTCATGTGAGTTTGGGGGAAATGTGTGAGGGAGTAAGGGACACAGGACAAGTTAGGGAAGGAGGAGGCAAGGAAATGGGTTCAATTGGAGTGGAACCGCAGTCTGATCTGGGTGAGGGCAGAGCCCGGGAGTTTGACAACCACTAGAGCGGTCCCATTTTGGTGCAAGGGGTCTGGCCTCTTGTGTCCCATACCCTTCAGTCCTTGGTGTGGGCTTCCCTAGTGTGTGTGTGTGTGTGTGTGTGTGTGTGTGTGTGTGTGTGTGTTGGCAGGTGTGGGACAGAACCATCCTGATGAGGCAGTTTGGTCAAGCTCAATTTACAAGGGGTGGCTAAGAACTGTTAGCAGCCAATATTTGCAGCAGCTGGCGTAGGGATGCACCAGCCAGTAAAAATTCTCGTCAAAGCACCCACAGCATCTTTTACAAAAATGGTGTCCAGCCGGTTGGCGCGGCTCAGTGGTTGAGCATCAACCTATGAACCAGGACATCAGGTTTTGATTCCCGGTCAGGGCACATGCCCAGGTTGCGGGCTTGATCTCCAGCAGGAGGTGTGCAGGAGGCAGCTGATCAATGATTCTCTCTTATCATTGATGTTTCTATCTTTCTCCCTCTCCCTTCCTCTCTGAAATCAATAAAAATATATTTTTAAAAATGGTGTCCAATAGACAAATTATCACACTGACAATAACTTAATCACAGTTATGATCAACGCAGGCTACGATGAGGGCTCCATCAGAGGAAGGGAGAGGAAGGTTTTGGGGTGACAGGAAAAGGAGGGCTAAGTAATGGATCCAGAATCCTGGCTATCATGTCACTGGGGCCTGAGGATCAGCTGATCCAGACCACATTATCTGTTTGGGCTCCCTCCTGAGGCACCTGAAATGATTACTTGGATGGGCTTTGGATTTATTTGGAACTATCTATTGACTTGTTGGGATTCCCCCTTAAACTGTGTCTTCCTAAAGAGCGAGGACCTAATTATTCATTTTCCATATCCCCACATTTCAGTGCATAGGAGGCCAGAAAAGATGTGAAGAAAAAGGAACCTTGTATCATGTCATGACAGGAATACTGGAAAATGAGGAACCATGAAGGAACAGGAACCAGGAGTCCTGTGAGCTGACTGCCCATAACTCGAGGGCCCCAGAATCTTGGGACAGAAAGGGAAGTAGGGGGGGTTCTCCAAGACACTTTCCAAAAAGGAAGCTGAGCCTTTTTGGAAATTTAAGGAGATTAAGGTTCATAAGTCAGTGGCTGACCTTGGACAGCCTTTTACTGAGCACCTGTGATATGTGGTTATTATTCTCTGCAGGAAGAAGACCTTGTGATGAACAAAGCCAACCCCTGTCCACGTGGAACTTCATAAATATTAAGGGAGTAACTAGTGGCTCATTTATTCTTTTTTGATGTTAATCCTCACCCAAGGATATATTTTTTCCCACTGATTTTCGGAGAGAGAGAGGAAGGGGGCGGGGGGAGAGAAACATATTGAGAGAGACACATCCATTGCTTGCCTCCTGCACACGCCCCGCTCCCTGGCTGGCGCTCCAACGTGCAACCCAGACACGTGCCCTTGACCGGCCAGGCAAGCTCATTTATTCTTTATCCCATCTTAATGGTTATTTCCCTTTCCCAGGAAACTCAAGGCTGAGAGGTGAAGTCACTTGTACAAAGTCACACAGCCGGTAGGTGGCCAGGTCAGGATTTCACCCCAGAGCAAGTGTTCCCATCACCTTGCTATACACTGCCCCGTAGTATTATTGTCCGAAGCATCCGACACCATTCCGTGTACCAGGCTCCGTGCTAAGGAAGGTCCTGATTCATTTATTCAACAAATGCACACTGAATACCTATTTTTGTGCAGGCACCTCCAGTTTACAGGGGACGTCTCTGAGAGAGAGGATTACACCGTCCCGCCAAGCCTCGACAACTGGGTGTTCCACCTACGTAGGGCATTCGGTTAGTGCTCAATTAACCCAAGGGACGAAGACCATCCGTCCCCAAAGCCCGCCGCCCCGGCATCACCGAGCAGAGGTTGGGGCGGGACCACGTGTCCCCGCAGCCAACGCGCAGGCAGTTGGAAGCCCCGCAAAGGGTAATATGCCTCCCAGCACCGGGATCAGCGGAGCCATGAGGCCTCCCGGCACCGGGATCAGCGTGACAGGGGCAGCACCCAAACCCCCTGATCGCCCTGCGGCTCTGTGTGTGACAGGGGGCGGAGCCACAACCTCCCTATCCGCCCTGCTCTGTTCATGACAGGTCACCTTCCTGGACACCGAGGAGGCTGAGCTTCTCGGCGCCGACACACAAGGCTCCGAGTTCGAGTTCACAGACTTCACCCTCCCCAGCCAGACTCAGACGCCTCCCGGAGGCCCCGGCGGTCGCTGCGGCCGGACAGCTTGACGTTCAGGTGAGCGGCACATGGCGGCGCCGGAAACCGGGCCAGGCCTTAGCGCCTGGGGACCTGCTCCGGTTCCCCGACCCAGGCCGGCCCCCAAGTAACCTGTACCGGATCTCTCACTCCCGCCGGGTCCGAAGTAATCTGTTTCAGGACCCCCTACTCTGACCAGGTCCACCGTAACCTGTCCCGGTTGCCGCACTCCTTACTGGGCGCAGGACAGACCTGCTCTGGGTCTGTTTGCGTCTGGGTGATCTGCCTTGAGTACCTCCGAGACCCGCTGCGGATCTAGTTCGGGCCAGGTCTTAGGTGACTTGCCACAAGTCCTCTTCTGAGCATGTCCGAGGTCACCTGCCCTAGGCCCGTCTCCGGCCAAGACGGGGTGATCTGCCCGTATGCCCCCTTCGGTGGAACTCGAGCCCTGCCCCACCCCCACCTGTGGTCGCGGCCATCTGGGCACCCCGCATTCACACACCGAGCCTCCAGATCAAATTTCCCCAAGCCCAGGGACTCTGGCGAGGGGAGCGTGGAGGCTCCTAGAGCAGAAAGGGAGTTTTTGCTTCCAGTGGAGAAACCCATACTCGCTGGCTATTGATGCTCTTCTTAAAGGCAGGTTGCATTTTGTTTTTCCTGCTTGAATGGCCTGTTGCTGAAACCGTCGTGTTACATAACTCCATAGCCCTGCCTTGGAAAAGTTAGGTTTGAGTTTGTTCCTCCAGTGGGCAGTGATAGTGGGTTTTACGTAAATGGATCTGCTACATCGGACATTTGTTTTTAATGATATGAACATTTAGCGAAAGCTGTTTGGGTATTTTAAATTTGGGTTTGGGTTATGAGAAATAACAGGCAGGCGTACACTTCCTGGACCTGTGCAGGGCCTGGCTAGGGTCTTGGGCTGCGGTCCCAGGGAATGTCACCATCATCCTCTAGATCTCAGATTCCATTCAGCAGGTTTTCCTGTGCCTGGCACTTCCCTCAGATTCATTTTCCTGATTTCTCAGCCAGGAAAGAGATACAAGGCTCACCTTGTCACAGGTGTCCCATGGCCTGAGGACCCAGTGCCAAGGCTGGGGGAGCCACCCCTTCCTCAGCCAGAATGAACTCAAAACCTGTCCTTGGTGATGGGGGCTTGCTTTCTGGTTGGGAGTCTAGTTGGTTGAGTCACTCCCGTGGGTAGGCCACCCACTTGGGCTTTCTTTTAGTCCCTTCTAGAAGCAGAAAACATTTGACTCATTCTAACCCCAGATTCCTTAAAAATAGAAGTCTGATAGGTGGGGCGTCAGGGAGAACAGGTGTGCAAGTATGTATTTTTTTTTCAGTTTTGTTTATATGTAGTGGAGGGAGGAAGGAAAGAGGGGAGAGTTGGTCTGGAGAGAAGAATGAGCTGCTGGAGGTGGGTGATCATACCTGTAGTCTGGACTCTAGATTTCTGTTTCCACAGCTGTAAAATGTGGCATAGCAGCTTTAGTTTTGTTACTTTTAAACATATATGAAATCTGGACTCCTGTATGAATGGACCAGAAAGTGCTGTCTGTAATTTGTGCTCACCTTGTCGTGTCTGGAAGCCCTAGGATAAAGATTTCTTGGTTGAGCAGTGTGCCGCCATTTGTGGGGTGACCTGCCCTAGGTCCGTCAGGGTTGTAAAAGGTAATGGTTTTATTACAAATCCTTTGTAACTGTAGCCAATACAAAATAGCCAACCTGGAGCAGCTCTGGTTCTAGTTTTGTTCCTGGTGTTTTCGATTAATTGAGGGCATGTCCTCTTTCAGTTGAAATAATCAATTTATTTTCCTCCACCTGAACACTGAGCTGTACAAAATAAAAGCATTAAAACTTCACTGGAGGTAAACATAGCAGTTGAGCTCACTTGAGTTGTGATGATCTCAAAAGAGACTGTTCTTCCTTACTGGTAGTTAACCCTGATACCCATCCTCCTGTAGCCTAACTTTTGGTTTGTATTTGGGGGAGGGGAGTAATATCCTTTGTCACAAGAGGAGGCCCTGAGTTTGGGGTCAGAAAAGTTTGAATAGAATAGCAAAGTGAAAAAAAGTTTGTATCTCCTTTGCTAGTTGGTGGCATTGGCTACCTACAGCATTTGGAAAGATTTTTCTTGTTTGTCCTCAGGAGTTAACTCTATGATGGGGCCTTTTGATCTGAATGCCTTTTGATCTTACTGGATGAGTGGTTGTAAAGCATCAAGTGCTGTGTAGCCAGTTTTGTATGGACAGATCACATTTTGTTTATCCACGTATCTGTTGGTGGACATTGGGATTGTTCCCACTTTTACTTATTATGAATAGTGAGAAATGCTGTGAACCTTGGTGTACAAGGTTCTTTGTGGATGTATGTCTTCAGTGAAATTGCTGGGTAACTCCTTCAGGAGCTGCCAGACTGTTTTCCAATGTGCAGCCACTTTTGATAGTCCTGACTGCCAGTTTTGCACAGTGGTTTTACCTGAAAGTTTGTTTAGAGGCAGAATGAGAGAATGTCTCAGCCAGGGTGAGAGAATGGCAGGCAGGGGTGACACCTGCTGAGTTCTTGAGTTGGTTCAAGTAACACTCATTTTCTTGTTTGTGAAATGAAACTGATATTTATCAAGTCCCTCCAGATCCTGGGATGAAAAGTGGTGAGGACACAGCCTTGCCAGGCTGACCCTTTCGTGGGTTTTCCCCCACCCCCAAAGGACGGGGAAAGATAGTTTCAGAAGTCCTTTGCCTAATAGCTGGTGTTACAACCCTTCTGGTCTGTCTAGTTGAATTATTTCTCCTTAACTGTTGCTACAATTGTTTTTCCTTCAAACATTGGAATTTTGGTGAAAATCTAAGAGTTGGGAGTACTACCGAATCAAAATAAAGAATGAACTGTTGATATATGCAACAGTGTGGATGCATCTTAGAATAATTACACTGAGTGAAAAAAGCATTTTGACAAAAATGATGAACCCATTGTAAGTTGAAAATATCATAATTCGGAAATGCATTTAATACAGCTAACCTACTAAATGCTATAGTTTAGCCTAGCCTACCTTAAATTTGCTCAGAACACTTACATTAGCCTACAATTGGGCAAAATCATCTTGCTGCGGCTGCCCAGCATCATGAGAGTATATCGTACCACATATCACTAGTCCAGGAAAAGATAAAAATTTAAAGTATGGTTGTACTGAATACGCATTGCTTTCTCACCATCATAAAGTAAAAAAAATCATAATTCTGGGGACTGCCTGTATATACTCTATATGATTCTGGTGATATAAAGTTCTATAAAGTGCTAGTGGACTTTGAGTAATAGAAAGCAGGTCTCTGGTTGAGAGAGGGGAAGAAAAGGAGGGATGGCAAAGGGCACTGGGGATTTGGGGTGGTGAATATAGGTGTACAGCCATTGACATCTGTCAACTTATAAAATTAAACATTTTAAACATGTCTTTTATTGTATGTCAGTTGTATCTCACTGTAAGATAAAAACCACATGGAGATACCACTGCCCACTTATTGGAGTGGCTCTGTTTTTTTGTTTTTAAAAAGTTGGAAATACCACTTGGAACTCTCATAGCTTACCGGTCACCCAGAGCTCTGTGGCCCAGCAGGGAAACAAGGCAGTTGCCCAAATGGGGACCTGCTCGGAGTGTTACAGCAGCTTCGTTCATGAGAGCTCCAGACTGGAAACAACCCAGTGGCTGTAAACAGGTGACCAGATACACAAAGGCTCTTCCTCTGTTGTAGTCCTGAGTACACAAACGTGGGCTTCTTTTTCCTTTTCAAGTGGGAAGGTACTTTAAAAGAGATACTTTGTAACCTGTTCTTCAAAACCATACTTCCTGCTGCCTTCAGAATTCATGGAAGGCTGTCCCCACATATCCTTGACCATCAGGGAAACATATTTTCTTCTGCTTACTAGCCTGTAGCTTACGATGAGGAGGAGTGACACAGTTCAGGGGTTCCTAAAAGCAGTGACTTTTCCCATCTGGTTTTGTGAATATGCAGTTCAGCATGCCTTGAGAAAATCAGAGATAAGACACTGGTAACCTTGCAGGAGTCCAGCAAATGTTCATCTATCACTTTCTCCTTGTTGTATTTCCCAGGTTTGTTTCCAAATAGTGAGAACTCAACTAGCAATTAGAACAAAAGAAGGTTTTGTGTCAGTTAATGGTGAATAAGTGAAATGACTTCTTACTCAATTTACCCATTTCTTCACCCAGATTCAGGAAGATTATGGGGGAAATTAACGCCAATGCAATACCAATATTAACTAAAAACTAAAGTTCTCTCTCAGTCCAGCTTCCACATACCAGAAAAAGACATCTTTCTAGTAGCTACAATGAGGTGTAATCACATACTGTAGAGCCCTCTCATTTTTAAATGTGCAAGTCAGTGTTTTTCTAGTAAATTTCCGGGGCTGTCTGACCATCACCATAGTCACTTGCTGCCTTTGATTTGTCCTTCATGCCACCTTTTCTTTCCTTCCTTTTTAAATTGATTTTTTTGTTTGTTAAATCTCACCTGGGGATATTTTTCCATTTATTTTTAGAGAGAGTGGAAGGTGGGGGCGGGTGGGGGGGCGGAGAGAAACATCTATGCAAGAGAGATACATCAATTGCTTGTGGCGTCCCCCCCCATCCCCAACGAGGGCCAGGGATCGGACCTGCAACCCAGGTACGTGCCCTTGACCAAAAATGAGCCCACTGAGCCACACAGGACAAGGCCCCTCCATTTTTGCTCTTGTTCATCTTTATAGTCTTTGGCCAACAGCTATAACATAGGGAAATTGGGTGACCCCCTACTCAGCCATTTCTGATCATATGTTAAGGAGATGTGCTTTCCCATGTGCTGGACCCTGCACAGGGGGTTGTTCAGAGGCAGGAAGTGAGGCCTGGGAATCCTCACAGGTCTGTTCACATTTACTTCTGTCCCCTCTGTGCAGGCCATCAGGCCAACCTCTTCAGCCTGGTCCTTGACTCCTGCCCTCAGCAATTCTGCTTGCTGTGCCCTCATTAGGCACAGCAAACTGTGAGT